CCCCCCCCCCCCCCCCCCACACGTTAGGTGGCTTTTTTTAATCATTACCTTTCTTAACTAGGACACTTCCAGGAAAGTAGGATCTTAGTTTCTGTGGAATTTACCTTCTGCAAATTTTCTCAGGTAAAGCTCCAGCTTCTCATAGTTAAACCCCACTGAAATGTGTCATATCAGATGAAGGATATGACTTCTGGTGGGAGATAGGTGGCTGTAGCAGGTAATACTTAGAAAACAAAGACTCTGTGGCTAGAAAGGAATAAGGGGGAAGGATGGGAATGTTGTACAGAATCAGAAAAGCTACTAGTAGTGTATAGGCTGCTGGCAGGTCTTTGGATGCTGTGAGTTTATTTTTTACTTATAAGCAGGATGGGCATTAGATTTTTTTTTTTTTTTTTGCAATTACATCATCACTACATACACGGTACCATAATTTCACATGTGTAATGAAGAGGAGAGGTATGCTAGAATAATTAATAGAAGTCTAGCCTGAAGAGCACTCCTGGAAAAGTGCAGATAAACAGTATGATATCCAAATAGGCAGGAGATGGTTACAACTAAAATGAATTTCTCCCCTTCCACCTCTTTTTCCCTTCCCCATCCCCCATCAGAATTCCTGTTATGTAGGAAATTACAAAATTTCTGTATTTCATTTTAGTATCAGAGGAGAAAAAGAACTTCCCATGGAATGAAAGAGTCAGAGAGATTCTTGGAAGAATTACAGCTAAATGTATTTTAACTTTTAACTGTTTAACCCTTTTACCTTTTTTCAAAACAATATTAAAAAGGTTTATTTAGTTGTGTGGGACTCAAATTATGTTGGTCTGAGAGCCTATCGAGAAGCTGGGAGGCTGAAGGCCTCTGAATTAATTAATAATGCCAAAGCTTGAGAGCCAAGCAAAGAGCCAGCAAAAATGAGATGTTCTGTGAAACATTTGGAATTGATGAGTTAGTGTTTTCAGGGAAAAACATTCTCATCAGAAAAGTCTGACAAGCTTTTCTTATGAAGTTATCCATTCTCTATAGAGTATGAGCAACAAACTTTACCTGCCCATAGTGACTCTGTGGCTTGGCTCCAACATAAGTTTTCTGGTGTCACGTACATGTGCTCTAAGGGAAGGGGTGGGAGGGGCGGTTTAATTAGAGTGGCTCTTGGGAGCTGCTCAAATTAAAACACCACAATATCTCATGAATTCAGCATCCTGTGTTTCAAAAGGGCAGCGGGGGTGCTTTAACTAAAGCTCATTCGACAAACTTTAATTTAGTTAAAGCACCCCTACCACCATTTGAAAAGCGGGATGCTGAATACATGAGATGCTGCAGCACGCTAATTAGCATGCTGCGACAAACTTGATTAATTGGCACTA